GAAATAAAGCATCATCCTTAATTCCTAACAAAATTTCATTGTTTCTATCTTCTTGAAATGTAGGTGAAGAAATATTTACATGTGCTAAAAATAATTTCCAATAGAGATTATTCTAAAATACTTTCACAGAAAGAAAAAGACTTATCAGTTCTGAATGGCTGCAATGGAAATATTACTCAAACTTATTTCCTAAAAAGATAACTTATTAAGAATCACAAAAAAACCTCAATATTTATAAGATGGTCATTACTGATTCATTCCATTGAAATGGTATGACTTCAACAAATCTCAGTTATAAAATGTAACTTGAAACTAATAATATATGTGCATATTTGAAAGAAACTCATAATCTCCTTTTCTGAAAGCTAAATAAAGGCTTGAATTCATTGCCCAGTTGCTTAAGAAATTATATTTCTTTCATTCTTACTAAAAATGTCATCTGTGATTTCAAATTTAAAAAATCAAACTATGCTATATGGTGATTAAAATAGATTCATTCTAATTGAGCTTATATATGCCACTTATCTTGCAGTAAAAATAAACTACTTAAACTTTTAATTAAATAAGCACACAATTTAATTTAGCCTCTTGCATATGCACATTCTAAGCTTCCCTGATCTTCAGTTTTGTGCCAGCACCACCCCCCAACCAATATGGAAAAACAAACAAAAAAACCCAATATACCTAAAATATTTACAGGAAGGGAATGCTATTAAGTTATAGTCAACCCACTACTAGAAAATTGCCCATTAGTATAATCTGTAAAAATTACATATTTAATTACTGTTAATGACCACCAGCATTAAAGAAATAGTTTGAAATATTCGTTAGCCAAGCAAGTTGAGAAAGCAGCAAGTAGAAAAATAGGCAGAAAACCCAACACAGGTTTCAAATTTACAGAATCAGAATTAGCCTCATGATTTCACAATTATTTAGTCATGATTATTTCTGAGGACTGGTATGATTTATGTATTTAGCTCCCTTCTTATTGCTAATTCACACTGTTGGCTTCCCTGTTGACAATCACTAGTACTAGTAGTGAAATGTTTTACTATTCCATGCAAGATATATCTTTACAGGTTGTCAATTTTTCCTTTATTCCTATTAAGGACTAAATCAACATTAATAAAACAGTGAGAATTCTAGGGTAAAGTGAAACTTGGAAGAGGATTTCAATCGTGTTTTTCTCTATAGTAGATAGGTAATACTTCATGATTCCACACCAAAAATACTTAGGTTTCTTATAATTGTTATTCTGGGTCATGTATGTATTCCATAAATTTGTATGACATCTACAAGGAAAAGCGGATATTCTGCCTAATAGAAGCTCTGCAGTAGTAAGATGGACAACAAACAAATTGTTTCCAAGAAAAGTTGGCCTGGTTTCAGGAACTTTATATCCTTTTCTACACCAGGGTTTGGGATTTGCAGTAGGCAAATCAATCTCCCTCCACCTTAATTTAACCAATCCCAAGTGCATTTGTAAGCAGATCTTTAATAGTATTAGACAGAATTACTAGAATCTGTACAATTAACTTTAAAAATCTAAATTCTCACTGCAGAACATTCATTAAGATAAAATAAGGTTGTTTAAATTTTCAAGTATAGCCACTATTTTAAAGTATGGCAAGTAAGTGATTTAGGGCCCCGAAAGGTAAAAAGACAGATTGTCACAAAGTTATTTTTCTATTATTTGATATATTTTACAAACTTTCACATAATGGAAAAGAGGAAGGACATTTATTCTTATAACTACTTGTAACTCTCCATTCTGACCTTTTAATATTATTTCTGCCTTTTCCTCAAGTAGAAGGATAATATAAGTGGAAGGATTTGTAAAGAGCTTTAAAAAATAACCTCAATATCTAACTAGCTTAAATTAAAATCTAGAGTACCCAAAGGACATAAGTCATGCATTGTGAGGCAAGATACCACAGACCAGAATGAACAAACACTTGTACAATTATCGGTTTATCACTACTAACGTGCATGAACATATGGTCACTGAAGACTTTATTTGAAATTCTAACTGCTTCTAAGATCTATTTTCTAATTTAGTATTTTTAAAATGCATTTTGCTTAATTAAAAGTTTACATAATAGTTTCTTTTTCAACCCTATTTCATTTAATAGAAATTTCCCTTTGGGGAGAAATATTATAACAGCTTTCTTTTAAAAAGAAAAGGCTTTCAAAAAAATGACCAAATGACCAAAAAAGGTATATATTTTTCACCTACAACAAAGGAAATACACTACTATACTGGAAAGCAAAAAATCCGTTTGTTTTTTTAATTCCTTACTTTCCTTCATATATTGATCAAGATTTATTCTTGGGCCTATTTAAAAACACTGAAAGACATCTCTGAAACCAGCTATATAAATTAATTTACAATTTAGGATATATGGCATCATTAAGCTTCCACGTTAATAGAAAAATTCTAGCATTTATAAAATAACACTGCAAAATCATTTTAAGATTATAGCAAACTGACTTTTAATCATGTACAATGCAGGTGCTTAGGTGTTACTGTGGGTTGCACAGCTGTAGCATAATAGTACCCAGTCCTCCTGAAACTCCACCTCACTAGGTATTCCACAAGTTAAAGAAGGAAGTTTTAGGACTAGGTCTACAGAGTATGATCCTAGGCCTAGAGAAAATAGTCCACATTCTCTTTCTAAATTGCACAAGAATGAAAGAGCCTACGTGTACCTGGTCTTCACACAAAAAAGCAACTGCTATCAGAAACAACTGGATTTACTTTTGCCTGGCAAGAAGCATTTCAAAGTATTATTTTAAATCAACCAAAAAAGGGGGAAAAAAGAAAAATGAAATAGGAGAAGAGGCCAAGCTCTTGCCAAGAAATACATAAGACAATCTGTCTTTACAAAAATATTTCTGGGACATTTTTCATTTAGAAAATGGTATAAGAAAGGTTTACTGTTTTTAAGTCTTTGAAGCTTAAAATGTATTTGATAATCTCAATAGCAGGCCTTGAAGAACAGTTGCAGCCAACTGTGACGCATCATGGCACATTTACAGAATTTTAAACATTTCTTTTAATAATTGATGTAGTCATTTTGAATCACTCTGCATAGGATATCAGGTGTGAGCAGATTGCATTAACACCGCTTAAACATTTCAACTTGTCAGTATGGCCAACTCGATTTCGGAAATATTTGCAGTATTTTCCCATCGAAACAGTAATAAAGGCAAAATAAATATATGGCACTACTTTATAATCACCGAACATTAATGAATATTTTATGTCTTTTTAAATCTCCCTGTTTAATTTAAAAGGGTGAAATTAAGTCTCCTCCCTTCAATATGCCAATTATCTGTAAATCAAACAATAACTTGGCCATTATGCTCCTTTTGTTAATATAAGAGAAACTAATTTGAAAACATTGAAAGGCATTTTTTAGATTATCAGTTTAATAGTCCTTTCTGCCCTCTTGTGGGAGAAAGCAGAAATACACTCGAACTACAGAAACTGGATATAAAAAAAAAAGGTAAAATTTTATCAATAAAAATTTCATTCAGAAATAAAAATAAAGCAGTTTATATTTGTCCTTAATGCATTAAATCAAAACTGTCTCCAATTAAGGAAATAAGCCAATGGAATAAAAATTACCTCTTCTCATCTTTGCTTTTCTTGATTGAACTGGAGTTATTTTGAAACTGAATTTCTTCACTTGATTATACTAAATATATACTTTAAATTTTACCAACATAAACTTCCCAGAATAACTTTGTAATAGAGCCATAGTTAAACACTACTTCTTGTGCAAAAACAATGATTATTCAAGGAATTAAAAATTTAAATTTAGAGGGTAGGACACCCATTGTAGAGGTTAAAAATGAGACGGCAATTAATATATTTTAAACCATGATTAAAAAATCAGATAATTCAAACCTTTCATTCAAATTAGGGGCCAAGAAAAGTTTTAAAGGTTTTAGTTACTAGTCAACTAACTATTCAAGTGATAAACACAGAAAATAAACTTCAAGCAATAAGTTATAACATATTCAGAAGTTGAAATTCATGGACAAAACATGAAAAAAAAAAGGGAAACATTAATAGTCTAGCCATTACTGAAACAATTCATATACTTCTGAAAAATGATTAGGATGAAAACAACTTGTTCTTTCAATGTGCCAGTAATTATTCTAAGCAATATAGTCCAAGAAAAAATTTATGAAATAGTCCATGATTAAGTATGATTAATTCTCTTTATAAAAACATTAATAGACAAATGATTGCTGTCTTCACAACTTATAAAGGGTAATGTGACATAATCATCATTTCAGTGTTTCTAAACACAAGTCCTGCCATAACCTTTACACACTTTCTTCCCAATGGAGATAAATTACTGGCTTTTAGGTAGGTGGGGTCACAGGTAAGAAGATACTTCTCCTCTCTTGGGGGAGGTTCTTTTTGAAACAGTGGCCCTGGTTGGCCACACTGAAGAAAAAACTGACTATAAATAGACTCTTCACAGATACTCTGAGTTAAATAACTGAAGGTTTCCATCAGCATCTCTCAAATACTGCCCAAGACTGGGACTGAGCTGCTTAAGAAAAGGTCTCTCAAATCCTTTTTGGAAACAGACAGGGTATACATTTTAAGTAATATATTTGAAAGCAACCTTTCAAATAAAATATAAGCATGTTAGAAAATTCATGCTAGCAAAAATTTCCAAATTAATATTCTGAACAATTACCACAAAACTATGAAATATATTACATAATAATGAGTATTTTAAACAGAGTTTTAAGGTGCCTATTTTAAGAATTATCAAGAGCTCCCATTTACAACATGTTTTTCTAGGTCAAGTCATTTAATATGTCTACAGTAATCATGATGCTCCAGTTAATTAAAATTAAGAACCCAACAATGAAACATAGAGAATTTTCAACCAGAACAGATAAGCCCTCTTTAACAGGGTCAACATTAGCTATAATGAGCTACCTTTATTCCTTAGCTGTGAGACATAACTCACCTCTTGAATGGTACTGCTTCCTGAGAAGTTCAGGTTGTACTCCCGCTGGACTTCTCGGTGGGTGATGATCAGCATGAAGTTTTGATTTAATGACTCCTGCAGGGCACTGAAAGGGTTGAGAGAAAAACAAGGAACTCTTGAGATGAACAAGTTCTAGCTTGCTTTACAGCTAGCTGCAAAACCCCAGGAGTACCATAACCTCCACACAGGCATGTCTGGGCCCAGTGTTACCATCTTTTCAGCTCCTAAAGGCAAAAGAGCATGCTGAGAACAACCAAGGAGAGCTAACCTGTTAACTCCTTCTCTACCATGGTTTTTTAAACTTCAAATCCAAGTATTTTGCATATATAAGAATTTTCTACAAGCCATATACTATTGTCTGCATATGTATTTCCTCCAAAAGAACCAAATTTTTCAACTACATCAAATTCCAAATATGTTACTAAAATATATACTCGCTATTCTGGAAGAAAAGAAATATGAAACTACTGTTTGTCTCCATGAATGTTATATAAGAATAAATATATAGTTTAAGTCAAAATTGACAAAGTATTGAAATCCATAGAACTTTAAATGCACATCAAAATTCCTTTAAAATAATTGTGCTTTCACTTAGGATTAAGGAATATATAGAATTCAGAAACTAGAGAATTCAGAGCAACATTAAATTCTGTGCCAAAGTTCCAAAACATTAAAAATGTGTCAGAGCCATAAAGAGTTAATGAAATTAACCACATAAATTAAGAAGAATTAAATCATGGTTCTATTTGTTTATGACAATACTAAGAAGTACTATCAACATTAAAGATAAAAATATATCACCATTATTTATGATTAGTACCACCACCCTCAAGTGTACTTATGCCATATTTATGGGATTAGGAAAATATTTTGGGTGTGCTCTACTATTCTGGCCTCATCATTCCTCCTTTGCCAATCTGTAATTATGTGATAAACACACATGGAACCTAAAATTAGAATTAGGCAGTTAATCTGTTTGTTCTATTATCTCCTATGGAGTTCACAAGTTGATTACAGACTAAAATTAAGTAGGAAACATTAAGACATAGCATGAAATACTATTAATCAAAATCAAGGGAATGATACTCCACAAAAATAGTTCCTTTAGGCAAGGACCTTTGTCACTGTCTCCTTAGCACCAAGCATAATGTCTTGCATACTGCAGATAAATATTGAATAAATAATGAATAAACTGTGAATTTCCAGAAGGCAAGAGTCTTATTCAATTTTGAATCTCAAATAGCAGTCTTGCCTTCTGGAAAACTACCACAAGAATTGAGATTTTGATTTTGATTTATTGAGTTATCAATATTAAATCAATGCTTTGCATTATTCCAAGTGCTAAAAAAATAACCCAAATAATACATAGTTCTTATTCATAAAAAGCTTCACAATCTTATAAATGTAAACAAATACATAAACGGCCATAATATAATGTAATAGATACAACTGAGAAACTGGGAGGTGGGGGACAGTACAACGAAACCTAAGAAGGAAGTGCTAAACTCTGTCCCAGTGAGAGGGGGAAGAGTTTAGGGGAGAGCTTCAGAGAAAGAAGGAAGGAGAGGGAGAGAAAGAAAGGGAGGGGAAAAGGGAGGGGAAAAAAGGAAGAGGTGGGGAGACGGGGAAGAATAGGGAGAGAAATGGATATATAGATATAAGTTAAAATACGAAGGGTAAAGTAGAACTTTTGAGTTGATCATTTGGAAGGTATAAAATTTTTGTTTTGCTCGGTGAAGAGACAAGTGGCATTTTTTAGACAAAGAAATGGAAGAACATACCACATTCACTCTGTTAACATATTTATTAAGCACCTACAATGTTTATGACACTGTTCTAGTTGCTAGGGATACAGAGGTGAACAAGAAAAACATGGTCACTGCTTTATGAAACCTATATTCTAGTAAAGGACACAAACAATTAATTAAGTGTAGAATTTTATAGAATACTAAGAGCTGTGAAGAAAATAAAACAGGATTACAATATAAAAGATAAAGGTGAGGGGCAGGGTGAAGAAAATTATTTTCACCAAAATAGTTTTAGGGAAAGCATCTCTGAGAAAGTTGAGGCTGGTATGATAAAGAAAGAGATAACAGGAATCTTATTACATAGGTCCTTGTAGACCCTGTAAAGAACTTCACATTTATAGGAATTGCAAAAGAAAACCACTGGAGAGGTTTTACACAAGGAAATAATCAAGATCTGACTTGCGATTATACTTATACAATTATTAGTCTGTCTGCCCTGGCTACAGTCAGGAATGAAGCCATGGACAGCAGACAGGAGGCCAGTCCTGGCAAGAGGTGATGGCACTAACTCATTTTTTCTGCCTACCCGTGCCATAGGGTGAAAGAGGCAGAGACAGTGAAGAGCAATAAGGTTTACTTGTATTTTAGAGGTAGAAGCCAGAAAACTTACTGATGGAATACGAAATAGATATACCTATGAAAGGCCTTGAAACTCCAAGGTTTCTGGCCTGAGCAAATGGAAGGATGGAATTGCATTTAACAAAGAAAACTGGGGTATGAGCAGACTGTGGGGAAACAGAGTGAGAAGTTTTAGAAATACTGTTTTAAGATGCTTACCAGACATCCAAAAAGAGATGCACAGTTACATGGGAGTTGAAAGTTAAGTAAGAGCTTGGAGCAGGACAGTTGACAGCATTATACACAGTATTTAGATTTTGTGGCTAAAAGAAATCACCTGGAAAAATACGTTACTTAGAGGAAAGGAGACAAGTCAAAATGGATCCCTGGGGCATGCCAATAATTTGAAATCAAGCACAGGAGGAAGAACCTGTATTAAAAAGATTGGTAAATGGTCAGTGAGTCTAAGAGAAAAACAAAAAAGGTTAGTACAGGGGGACCAAAAGAGTAACTTTCAATTAGGAGCAATTATGACAAATGGTGCCGATACGCACAGTAAGGCCAGAAGAATGACCATGTTCAGGAAATCATGAACAGCTCAGTGTGACCACAAAGAGGAGTGCATGAATGGTGTTGTGAGGCTGAAACAGCTGGCTGAGTCAATGTTCAATATATACATATTAAATGAATTCAGGGTGGGGAGTGCCAAGTAATGAAAAAGTACTTGGCATTTCAAGGATTTTCAAAGGTAGATCTATTTCGCAACTATTCTCTAAAATTTGGCTTTTGCTCTAGAGCTAAAACTTAGCTAAGTTTAGGCTAACTTTGCCCATGTCAAAAACATCACACCATACTCCAATCACTATTCATGTTGTTCTCACCCTCCTTCCCTTCCGCCACCCTCATCCCAAATACTGCAAAGCTTTCAGACCACCTCATAGCCTACTGTTTGTACATATTAGAGACCTCCTTTTCTCTGAATTTCTGTATCACAAACTTTATTTAATGCTTAATTATAGTGTGTTTTATACAGTTTGCTTTGTTTCATGTGTGGAAGTCCTAAATTCAAGACTACAAACCTTTTGTGGGTAATTATCTTATTATCCATCAGTATTTCCTCTTGGCAACTCTCATTTAAAGGTGATTCAATTCAATCCTATAGATATTAAGAAATAGCTCTGCATATTCTAAACTGCATATTAAAAAAACTGCTAATTCTCATATTTTCTGCCTGCTTGTGCCATTTTATTCACAAAACTGTGGTTCACAAATGTTAGGGAATTGCCCAAGGTTATGCAGCTCTAAAAAGATGAAACTCAGTTTCTAAGCTGCATTTACTTCTATGTTCTTTACACATCAGCATCTTATCTCCCAAATGGCTAAGCTGCTTTGGGGATAAAAACATGAACAACTGCTAGCAGTTCACAATTCATTTATTCTTTCCACCATGATTTGTAATAATACAGAATTAAAAGACATAACTACTGACCTCAAGAAAGACTATTCACAGAGGTTAAAACAGATGTGAGGACTGTACAGATGTGGGAAAGAGTAATATTTTGAAGTACTATGAAGAAGAATAGTAATTTGGCCAGTGAATATGGGCAATGACTTTATACAGATTAGTTTGAGCAGAGATAGAAACGGGAGAATATAGAGAAGGGTGTAAAAAGCAATGAGGAAGAAGTTTAAGGGAATGTGAAGATGGGTTTGTAAAAGAGAAAACTTGAAAAACAGTAAGGACTTACATATTAGGGCTTCAAGTGCTAGGCTAAGGAGCTTAGAATTCCAGAAGTCTTGATTATTATAAAGATCCTCCTTTAGCTTCACATATGAGTCTATGCATGTGTTTAATACTACTTCTTGCCTTTATGCAATTCCTTAGGAATGTTTCTTGATCTTGACTGGCAGACTTGTGCAATAACTGCAGAAAGGTTTGCCAGGACCAGTGTTGTCAAACTATAGATGAACACCAATTTAGTCTAGTTCTACAATTCCTCAATAACCCTGAGGAGGGCAAGTTGGCAAGAAAAAACATTTATGGCTTTAAACTGCTCTGGAGTCACAGAGCCAGGTTTGAATCCCTGCTCTACAACTTGCTAGCTATACAACCTTGAAATATCAATCACATATTCTTTTCAGTGGTATTTATTGTCTGGGGGATGGGGAATGTGCAAAAAAACCCTGGAATTGTCTTCAGGGCAGGCTCCTTATAGTACAGGCTTCCCCTGTTAGGTAAGTGTTCTAGGAACCCATCTGTATCAGCACCAGCTGGTGTTGTGGTGAGAGGCTGTGTTCACTTCAGTGAATTTTTTTGAAGACCCTTTCAATGTGTTTGCTCATTTAACGATGGGTGATTTACGAGTGCACCTACCCCTACAGCACTGAGTGCTCAGCAGTTTTTGACCAAAAACAGCACAACCAAGTGCCCTACCTTCTCTGTTCACCCAACCTTGCCCTGAGCAACTCTCCCCTCACCGTGAATAAAGTCCTCAAAGGGAAATGTTTTGCCACTGCAGAAGAGGTGAAACAGAAAATGGCAGAAGCACCAAAAGGCACCAAAACCGATGAGTTCAAAAACTGTTTTGAGCAGTGGGAAAAAAGTCTCAATAGGTGTACTGCATCAAATGGAGAGTACTTTGAAGGTGACTGAAGCTTAAACATATAAGAATAAATACACAATTTTTAATAAATAAATTCCAGTTATTTTTTGGGTCCA